CCCCAAAGTGCTTTCTTAGATCTATAATGAATTAGGTGTCACAGACCGGCATGAAGGCATTGATCTCCCTGTTGCCATTTCAGGCTAAAATAGAGAGTTCCCCCTGCATTTGTCAGAAGCTCATTTACCCTTTCGACCTGTTTCACAGCAGCAGGAAAACATCCATCAAAGACAGCCAGAAGGACTCCTGGGTCCAGCCCTCCAGTCATGTATGCTCTTGAATCCAGTCCTACATTCAGATCAGACTAGCCGTCTAGGATCTCTTAGCCATAGAATGCTGCTTTTGAAGCCATCTCAAGTTTAAATATCTGATCAGGTTTAGAATGTTCTCGATGCCTTTATTCTGCATGTGTGAAAGTCTTTCCTCAGGCAGGAAAGACCCTTTAGCCCTCCTGAGTCCTCCTTAGTAGTGTTTATTGAGTGCTTTCTGTGTACCAGGGTCCTTAGGGATACAATATTTTCATGCTACTTTGCCAAAATTATGAAAATCAACATTAACAAAGTTATGAAAATTAGCATTAATTTTTCTATACTTGGACTTACTATCTGTTTGGCATTCCATTCCATCTGAAGGCAGGACACACAAATCTAGTTTTATCTATTTCTTTTCTACAGCTGCTTCTGATTTAAATCCAGTCAAATCAGAATTTTTCCTCCCTCTCTCCTTCCCCCACCAGTGGCATCTAAGCACTGGTATGTTTTCATGGTGACAGTGTCATGGGCCTGTGGAAGCCCTTTGCTCTCCCTGTTTTTTTTTTTTTTTGAGTCGGAGTCTCACTCTGTCGCCCAGGCTGGAGAGCAGTGGCGCAATCTCGGCTCACTGCAAGCTCTGCCTCCCAGATTCATGCCATTCTCCTGCCTCAGCATCCTGAGCAGCTGGGACTACAGGCACCCGCCACCACGCCCGGCTAAGTTTTTGTATTTTTAGTAGAGATAGGGTTTCATTGTAGCCAGGACGGTCTCTATCTCCTGACCTCATGATCTACCCACCTCGGCCTCCCAAAGTGCAGGGATTACAGGCATGAGCCACCACGCCCAGCCTCTCCCTGTTTTTTATAGCGATGTTCACTGCAGTGCCTATTGATTTGTGTGGTCTTTCTAATAACTTAGCCTTTCATGACACTCTCCTCCGGGGTGTCCACTTTCCCATCTGGCACATGGCTAGAAGGTGTCTGCAGCACAGCCTACCCAGTATGCAGTGTCAACACCCATCCCTTCACCCCCAGTGTGTGACTTCTTTGGGTCAACAAGCCTGCTCTGTCAGCAAAACATCATCTCTACCCTTAGATCCTTTACCATACCTACAAAGTCCCTTTGCCATGTGAGGTAACATAGTCATAGGTACCACAGATTAGGAGGAGAACATCTTTGGAGAGAGGTGATTCAGCATACCACAGTCACTTTGATATTTACCAACTAAAAACATGAGTATCTTCCCCTCGCTGCTCTGCTTAAGGGGAGTACATTAATATGATTTTGACTACAAATATTAATGTTTTTCTTAAATTGTCTTTATTACAAATGTGTGATCACAAAGAGATATGATGAAATGGCACTTGTAATCTCTGTAAGACCTAATTTTCAGTGGGATAGTGATTATTTCAGTGACCTCTACAATGCTTGTTTGGTCAGAACATAACTCATTTCTTATGGTTAGTGCTGTCCAAAATGAAGTGCAAGATGATTTATTTGCATTTGTAGGAAGAAAGTATTAGAATACTTTTGCGTATTTATATGTTTGAAAGTAAAAATTTTAAGTTTTTCTAATCACTCGTGGAAGGATTGACACACATATGCCTTTTTGGCTGGGTTTGTCACACGTGGTATAGAGAACATGACATATTCTGAAGGCAAATGGGAGTTCCACACTGTGCAGAGGTTAATACGGGTGCCCTTTCTTGATCGTTCGCTTTCAGCGTGTTGTGATGTATTGTGGCATCACCTTGCAAGCAAGATTTAAAAAAAACTAAGCAGGAAAAACATGAAGAAAAACTCCTACAGTTTTTTTCAGTGATGTTTAAAGTCAAGTAAGATTTCAACCTATCCTGATAGGATATAATATAGTATCTGTAATGATAGATGTTTAGAAGCTTCTGATATTTCATTACGTAGTAGCAGATGACAGAGGTGAATACCTTTGCTCTTCCTTCCTTTAAACTTCCTGAGGTTAAAATGACTGAAATAACATATTGAAAATAACATGGAGATGCCTTTGTCAGCAAATTTTGCTGGAAGATGCACAGAAAACATTGAAGTTCAGAAGAAATGAGTATGAGAACAAATAATTCAGTGTGGGAGGTTTGCTACATAGTGTGTTTGTCCCTATCATAGCTTATGGTATTTGCAAAATTCTGTTGACAAAATACAAGAACTGCTACTATTAATGAGCCATCCAAAGAAAAACATTCCAGAAGACAAATACTAAACAATAAGTTACTTCTTTATTAAAAACTATGATAAAATTGTAAGCTTACTTAACATTGATGGAATTACTATTTTGGAATACAAGGATTCCAGAACAAAGTTTTAGACAGCCTCAGATTTTATCATTACTAACATACTATTTTTACTGCATAATTTGTTGCAAGTTTTAGCCTTAAAGAAATGGAAGCCAGAACTTTATAAATGTGGTTAATTTTATAAAAACGGGGTCTTTACTAGAGTAGAATAACACTTTGTAATGAGATGAAGGATGACCTTGAACATTTTGTTTTGTTACAAAATTGTGGGGTGGCTTTGTTTTCATTACTTTGGCCATAGTTGAAAATGTTCTGCATTTTTTATTTTTCAAAAAAAGCGCTTTCCAAATGTGTTGAACTTTTCCTTGATAAATGGTTGTCATAGTTTCCCTGACAGATATTTAAAATACAAATACAAACTGAATTATATTTTCTTGTCAGATAAATGTCACCATTTAAAAATAAATAGGAAAACATTTTGAAAGAAATGTGATAGACTGTTTTCAAAATTAGTATTTTAAAAGTTTCCATTGTGGCCGGGCGTGGTGGCTCACGCTTGTAATCCCAGCACTGTGGGAGGCAGAGGTGGGCAGATCACAAGGCCAGGAGAGCAAGACCATCCTGGCCAACACGGTGAAACCTTGTCTCTACTAAAAATATAAAAATTAGCTGGGCGTGGTTGCATGCACCTGCAGACCCAGCTACTCAAGAGGTTGAGGCAGGAGAATCGTTTGGGCCTGGGAGGCAGAGGTTGCAGTGAGCCGAGATCACGCCACTGCACTCCAGCCTGGTGACAGAGCCAGATTCCATCTCAAAAACAAACAAACAAAAAAAGTTCCCGTTGTTATACATTTTTTGCAAACAAACTATTTAATGCATAAAAATTCTCATCAGAAATTAATATGTTTAAAACTATTTCCAAATGATATATTTTATCAGGGTTTGAACAAATTTATGAGAATATACACAAAAGGAAGAGTCAGTGACTATCGTGGAATGGAAATTTACTAGCTCATTTTTAACAAAGCCTCTGCTTAACTGGTAGACGCCATTGAGTAATGAGCGCCAGGATTTAGTAAACCAGCCACAGACCAACTCTTTTCACCTAATTTTTGTATCTACATCCCTTTGTGATAGCCATGCAGACCAAGGATGCCCACACACTAGCTCACAACCAAGTCTCCATTCTTGATCATCCAAGATATTTTGTAAAAATAGAGACTATTAATCATACTATGTTTGCAAAAAAAAAAAAAAAATCAATTTTGAAGGAGGCACGTTTGTTTTTTTATAAAGCTTATAAATACTGAAAATACTGCTTTTATCTTTATCTCTTTTTTACCTTTTTAGTGTAGTTTAATGATACACACAAAATGTAGTGCTTGTATAAGATTTATATATAAATATGCATATTGGGGGCTTGTATGCATCTGTATTTGTTTTAAACCGAAATGTCTTATTTAAAAAGATGAGATGAAAAGGTTTAAAGTCCTGGCAATGGAAAGCCAAAATAGTGAAGTAAACTGATGAAGGTGCCTTTTAATTCCCTGTCTAGTCTCCCCATCTTACATCCTTGTAATGTATCTTTATGACTCCATGTGAGGGGGATTGCATTAAAACACATTTGCATCTTTGGAGAATTGGAGCGTTAGCCATAGGATGCACTCTTTTGCTTGTTTCGTTATACCTGTAGTAGAATCTTAAACCCTTACACACGAATCTCCATTTGAAAAGCTGTTGGTGATCAAATAAAACACTGTCTCCCCTTAATTTTGTTTTTATTTATTTATTTTTCACAAAAAGCTGTTTGTCTTCCAAGTCCTTGAGGGTTCAATTCAAGTTTTCTAATTATTTTGCATTGTCTTTCTGACAATTAGCACTTAGAACGAGGGACAGGATGGTATAAAAGGTGAAGACAGGAGTTAAAGAGTGACACTATCTGAGGCTTAGTGGCTTCCTGCACATGTAACCTTGATGGCCTTACTTTTCCTCCCTGTGCCTCAATTTTTTCACGTGTGAAACAAAGGTGAAACAGGAATCACTAGTAGCACCTCTCATGAGCTTCTTGTGACCAGGAACTGAGTAAATTCACTTGAAGCTCTTGGAAAGGTGGCTGGCGAATAGAAACAATAGATGTTAACTCTTAGCTTTTTGCAAGAAGTAATTCCTATGCTGTTTTCTACAAAACTTTATTTCTGCTTTCCAGATGAAACAAGATTGACACCATTTTAGAAAAATCAACAATAAATGGCACTGAATGAGACTGTGTTCCTAAATCTGAATTTCTTTGTGAAAATTTTGATTTTGCAGGTTCTTCGTATTCATAACACTAGGTGGCAGTGTTAGCACAGACGGGGGAAAAACACTGCAGGTTTTCCCATTCCCCCATTTCCCTTTCCAGTTTTATAACTTTTTAGTCAGCTTTTGAACCACTGATCAGTCCATATTAGTAGTCTGGGGACACCCCAGTGCCGAGTCCTACAGGACACTGGCTGAGGGATTAACAGGACATTTCAACGATCATTGCCTCGTAGGAGCAAATGTGGTCCGTTGCGATGCGAAGAAACTACGTCCTAATTTCTCTATCAGGGGCTTGGACAAGGCTGTTTTTCTGCACAAAAGCTGACTTAGGAACGCTTTAGCTCACTATGCAGAGGCCTGGAGAGTCCTTGATTTTCCTGGAGCGAGCTGGCAGCTTTGACAGAGGCTGTCACGTTTTAGGAATCTCAATGGTCCCCCAGAAAATAAGCCAACACTTTTGGCGGTTGGGATTTTGCTGAAGTCATTTCTTTGTGACACTGTGGGAGAGGAAAATATTTGCCAGGTCACTGGGGTCCTGACTTTAAAATCTGCCAGTTTTTACACTAAAATGTTTATTCTTTTTAGATGATTACCCGGAGTTCCTCTGAGAAAAATAGGAGTAGACTGCTGCAATTACCATGGGTTAAAATGAAAGATGGGATGACCTGGCTGTACAAAGGCATAGGGACTCAGGCAGACGAGAACTACTGCTCCTTCTCTGAATCGGATTTTCCTGACTGTAGAGCCCAGATCAACCCTTCCATTCCATCGATTTGGGTCTCTCTCTCTCTCTCTATATATATATATATATCGATCTATCAATTTATCATGCCTCCATAAATCTGCATGCACACATGTACATATATACACACACACACACATATTTTTGTTTATTCATTCAACCCGTAAATATTTGAGTGCCCACTGTGTGCCAGTTACTGATCTCAACAACACAGATGAAGCAGTGAACAAAACAGATAACGTCGCCCCTCTTAACGGAGTTTATATTATATTGTAGTGGGGGGACACATCAGGTGGTAAACACTGTGAAGTAAAGTGATATAAAAGGATAGAGAGTGGTGAGGAATACAGGGGATTCTATTTATTTTGTTTTATTTTTAATTAGTATGGATACGTAATAGTTGTACATTATTTATGGTACATGGGATGTTTTGATACAAGCATACAATGTGTAATGTCAAATCAGGGCAACTGGGGTATCACCTCAAGCATTTATTATTTCTTTGTGTTGGGAAAATTCCAATTCCACTCTCTTAGGTATTTTTAAATGGGCAACAAGCTATTGTTAACTATAGTCACCCTATTGTGTATTTCTATCTAACTGTATTTTGTACCCATTAACCATCCCCATTTTATCCTCCCCACAGCCCTTCCCAGTCTCGGGTAACCATTATTATCCTCTCTATCTCCATGAGTTCAATTGTTTTAATTTTTAGCTCCCACATATGAGTGAGAATATGTAAAATTTGTCTTTCTCTGTCTGGCTTATTTCACTTAACATATTGTCATCTAGTTCCATCCAAATTGTTGCAAATGACAACATTTCATTCTCTTGTGTGGGTGAAAATATTCCACTGTGTATATGTGCCACATTGTCTTTATCCATTCATCCATTAATAAACAGGCTGATTCCCTGTCTTGACTATTGCAAATAGTGCTGCAATAAGCATGGGAGTGCATCTCTCTCTTGGATACACTGATTTCCTTTCTTTTGGATATATACAGTGATATATATATTCTTTTGGATATATATATTCTTTTGGACATATATATTCTTTTGGATCCAGCAGTGAGATTGCTGGATCATATGGTAGTTCTATTTTTTAGTTTTTTTTAAGTAACCTGCATACTGTTCTCCACAGTGGCTGTGCTAATTCACATTCCCTCCAACAGTGTACGAGGGTCCTAGGGGATTCTATTTTAGATAGGAATTTGCTTGGGAAATTGAGTATGCTGATGTCTTAGCAGAAACCTGAATGAAGTGAAGCAGTGAGACGTGCACCTTTCCAGGGGAAGAATATTCCAGCCAGAAGGAAGAGCACATAGGTGCTCTGAGGACATTAGTGGGTAAGACTTGGGGGCAGGCAGGGGCAGATACAGATTGATGGAATCTGAAACTTAATTAAAGTCTGTCACCCTCTTTAAGAGAGAATACAAACTTACGTGTAAATGTGAATATTTAGAATAAGAAAATCCCATGAAATCACAAAATTTAAAAAGCTGATAAACTGTGTATGCATGGTCCAGTAAGGCATTTTTATTCATTAACTGCCTGACACATCTGTGTCACTTTTCCTACAGTTTTGGCTACACACTCTGCTGCTTCACAGGTTTCTGACGGATAATAGATAATTTAGTCTTTCTCTTAGCATAGTTGAGCCAAATATTGACAGTTTACGCATTTCTTTCAGCTTTACGCTTCTTTTTGGTTATGCCACGTAAATTTCTACGATTCTCAAAATTGGGAAAACCATCTTAGAAATTTTCTTTGCATGTGAGCTGTAATATTTGGAAGAATTTTCATGGATTAGCTTCTGATTTTGTTCATTTCAAATCTTGTTTTTTTCTACTGCTGCACGCTCCTAAAGCTGGCTGCCATGTTCATAACTCATTTGACTTATGCCTTACATCTTCATGTCACAATATTGCAGGGAGGGTCAGCACAGAGGAGGACAGGCATTTCCTTGAAACCATTTCCGTTCCTATGTAAACCAATACATAGACGCGACTGCAAGCCACACGACTGTATCTCACTCACACAAATGACACATCTTTAAATCAACTTCCCTTCTCTAGGTCCTACAAATGCCCACGGCCACTGCACTGCCTTCTGACAAGAAGGAAGATCTGATAGAGGCAAAGTAGAAATGAAAAGAGACAGGGATGTCAACTGATTGTGGTTAAGATATTTTTCTTTTGCAAACTTTACAAACTCTTACGACTTTGTGAATGCATTACTGTCCAAGTAAGGGGCCTACACCTTAAGCTTCATGAGCTCCATGGCAATCCACCTCTGGGGGAACAGGAAGATACTCCTGCCCTACTGTTAAGTCATTGAGGGAAAGGAGGTCTGGAGCATAGGATTTGTTTGGGAGATTAACTTAATATAACTCAGTGTTCAAAACATACTGAACAGACCATAGCTAACAGATTTCCCGTCTTTTACATCTGTGCTTCACCAACATGTATGTCAGGAAACCATGGGATAAAAAGACCGCAGCTTTGAGAGTGATGATCTCACTGAAAGTGCAGTGGTAGACAAAGGGGGAGCAGGGTTAGGTAATTTCACTGGTAAGTTATTAGTCATTTTAACATTGAAATATTTTTAAAAATATAATTATCATTTGTAAAGTATGCAGATTGCATGTGACTATTTTTCTTTTTTTTTTGAGATAGGGTCATGCTCTGTCACCTAGCCTGGAGTGCAGTGGAACATTCTCAGCTCACTGCATCCTCAGCCTCCCAGAGGGTTCAAGCCATCCTCCCTCCTCAGTCTCCCAAGTAGCTGAGACCACAGGTATGCATGACCAAACTTGGCAATTGTTTTTTCTTGTAGTACAGATGAGGCTCTTACTATATTGCGCAGGCTGTTCTTGAACTACGGGCTCAAGCAATCCTCCCACCTTGGCCTCCCAAAGTGCTGGGATTACAGGTGTGAGCCACTGTGCCTGGCAGCATATGACTGTTTTTTTTTTTTTTTTTTTTTTTTTTTTTTTTTTTTTTAAGCTAAAACAAACTTCCAGGAGAATTTGTCCCTTGCACTGGCCTAGTTTAGGGACATCATCTCTTCTTCAGTTAGGGTTTCTTCAGTAGAAAATGTAGAGAAGTTGCATCCTATATAGACTATGACCCCTTGTCTAGAAAGGTGACACTTCTGACAACACTGGAGCTGACAAATTTTCTTCCTAGTCATGGTTATTTGCATGATTTATTTGTGGGATGAGAAATAATCTAGGAGAGAGGCTAAGAGTGCAGGTTCTGGCACCGAATTTCCTGTACCGGACTCCACTGCTCACTCCTTAGGTGAGGAATCTCTCTGTGTCTCAGTTTTATCTGTAAAATGGGGATCATAATAGTACTACACAGATCCTGCAGTTGTTATGAGCATTCCCTAAATTAATTTTGGATGTAGGACAGTGACTTGGTACAAAGTCAGTGTTCAGTCCTTGCCAGCTACTTTATTTTTTTAATTGACAAGTAGTAATTATAGGTATTTATGGGATACCATGTGATGTTTTGATGTATGTTTACCTTGTAGAATGATGAGATCAAGCTAATTAAAAATCCATGGCCTCACATATTTATTTTTTTGTGTATGCAGGGAAAACATTTAAAATCTAGTCTTTTAGCAATTTTGAAATATACAGTACATTATTATTTACTATAGTCGCCATGCTGTGCAATAGATCACTGAAGCTTATCCCTCCTGTCCAACTGAAACTTTGTACTCTTTGAGCAACATTATTTCCTTTCCCCATTATCCCTCCCCCAGCCTCCCGTACCCCCCAGCCAGCTACTTGAATGATCTCTCCGTGTTTCTTCTCAGCCTTTCCCTTCTGTGATCCTCAGTCTGTGCTGGTAAGAGAATTAGCTGGAATTCATGGTGCCACTTCTGGAACATGTAAAAAGGCCCAACTAGCCGGGCGCGGTGGCTCACGCCTGTAATCCCAGCACTTTGGGAGGCCGAGACGGGCGGATCACGAGGTCAGCAGATCGAGACCATCCTCGCTAACACGGTGAAACCCCGTCTCTACTAAAAATACGAAAAACTAGCCGGGCGTAGTGGCGGGCGCCTGTAGTCCCAGCTACTTGGGAGGCTGAGGCAGGAGAATGGCGAGAACCCGGGAGGCGGAGCTTGCAGTGAGCCGAAATCGCGCCACCGCACTCCAGCCTGGGAGACTGAGCAAGACTCCGTCTCAAAAAAAAAAAAAAAAAAAAAAAAAAAAGGCCCAACTAATCAAGATGGGATGTGTCACCAGGCCTCATAAGGGCCACAATCATATTTTAAAAAATTGTCTTAGAGCAGAAATTTTTTCCCCAAATAAAATCATAAAAAGTGTGGATGCTTAGGTTGAACCAGAGAATCAGGGGGCCCGCAGAAGCCCAGTCTAGTATCACCAACCCTCTCTTGCAGGGTCCTGAGAACCCTCCAACACCCTATTATTTCATAGAACACAGTTTGAAAAGCCCTAAAACTTGGCAAATTCTCTTTCCTAAATTTCAACAGAAAAGGCAGGTATTTGTCTAAATACAGCCAGGCCATCCTGTCATGTTAATGAGGCTGGATTTACTAAGGGCAATTTACTCACCGATAAATCTGCAGAGCTGTGTTTGAGGTTGGCTTTAATCTTGTCTACCAACCAAACCTCTCACCAAAATTTCAAATTTACTGACGTGAATTTCATCTCTAGTTTCTGCCTTGCTTATTTGTATGGTTTTAGGGAAGACAATAAAGGAAGGAAATTGAGGGTTGCTTGCTTACATTTTAGATTCCACTAACATTTATTGAACGTCTAGACCCTGTGACATGAACTCTCATTATTAACCTGTAAAGTGAGTATTTATATTTTAAGATGACTAAAGTGAGGCTCGCAGAGGTGAAAAGCCTTGTTCATAACAGAACTGAAATGAGTTACAGACTTTTTTTAACCCAAAGTTGTAGATTTTTATACCCACTGTATATTGCAATGTGAAAATGGTAACATCTTGCATTTATATAAAGCTCTGTTATGTATAAAACAACCTTTCCTTTTGAAAATCTTGCCATTTGGAACTCAGATATAGTTCTTTTTTTTTTTCCTTTTTTAAGGAAACTAATTATTGGTTCTCAAACTAAAGATGACAAAATCTAGTCTGTGAAAATGAGTCAAAAACCAAAGACCACTTAAGAGATGTACCTGGGATTCAAACCAGTTCATCTGGCAGCAAACCATTCCCAGCCCACTACACCCCAGAGTGAGAGCCTTTACCCCTTGCATCCAACCTCAGCCACTTTCCTGGTAAAGTGTGTGCTTGGTGACCCCTAAATCAGGATTTTAAAAATATGCATCAACTTGGCTTCTTTTGCTCCAGGGGAGCCCAGCCCTCTCTGATCAAAAGCACCGCAAGCTTCCCTTTATTTTTCAACAATCGTTTCATTTATGCCTGGCTCCAGGTGGCAGGAGGGCTGGCTGTTTAAACTCTTTCATTACAAAGGAAAAAGAGGCTTATTGCATAAGAGAGGTGATGGGAGGGAGATAGTACTTTGTATCCATTAAACGTCCAGCCTAAACTAACCTCGGATCTCTGAAGCCCTGCTGTGGTTAGAAAATAACATGAAGAGGAGTGCCAAGACCTGGATTCCGGTACCGCCTTTTAAAACACTGTTGTCTTGGGGAAGTCACTTTACCTCTTCAGCTCTTGGGTTTCTGGTCAATAAAATGAGATGTTCCGACGCATGCCTGAAGTGGGCTTTTCTCACCACTAGGGGGCAGGCAACTACAACTCCTGGGTGCTTCTGTAGCTCACACAAGGGTAAGTAACGAAAAGTTTTAATACAAAGTTAAAAATTAAAAAAAAAAAAAAAAGTAAAATAAAACCCGGGGTTTCTGATAGGGCCTTTGAGTACTCTCAACTCTAGCCCTTCATGTTATTTGGGTTCAATTACATGCATTGCATGCCACAATAATGTCTAGAATTTGTTGAGAGCTTACTGTGTGGAAGCTTACTCTACGGAACATGTTACCTTTAATCCCCAGGACAACTGTGCAAGGCGGGCATGATCCACGTTTTACCCGGAAGGATCCTGAGGCTCACGGAGGTCATGTAGCCTGCCGAAGGTTACCCAGCTAGCAACTGGCAAAGCTAGGAGGTAGTGCAGATCTGATCACTTCTAAGCCAGACTCTGCTTTTATATTTTGCTGGTTCCCATAGTTCCTCTCTCTCACAGTCCCTTGGGTATGTGCATATGGTCCACTCCATCACTGCAGTCATGAAGGATAATGCCATGGAAACATTTTTCTCTGTGTTTGAGTGATTCTGATTTCATGAAATGATAGAAATTATAATTATGTTAAATATTGTCAGAACATTATTTCTGGAATAGTATTTGATTAACTTGTATTGTCTCCATTCATCCCACAGAGCTCTGGGGCCCACATTCAACACTCCTTTGTTCTTGCTGGAGGCTGTTCTCCACCAGCGCCTCTCCTATTCTCTCTGCCTGAAGTTTACAGCTACAAAATGCCCATAGGAATCAACACAAACTCTCCCATCCAGCCTCTATTGTTTGCCATTTGCCCCTTCCCATCTCACCTTGGCTAAAGTTTTGCTTTGACCTGCTATTTCCAGTCATGTCAATCAATGTATGTTTCTTAACAGTAGCCACCATTTGAACTATTCTCTCATACTTGCCACATTCAGTTACTTAGTATTTTTAACATCAAATTGAAAATGTATCCTTCAAAATACTTTCATTGAATATCATTACCAAACTCTGAACATGACTTTGCTTAACTTTTATTTTCTATTTTATTAATTTAATCACCTTGTATTTTGCCTCTCAGATCTCTTGTTTCATGTGCTTATAGTGTATTCCTAACTAGATGCAAATTTCTTGAAATCACTGGTATTTGATTTCTCCAAGTGTTTAGTTGAGTATTAATAATAAAATACTGAGCTGGATGCCATTTCTAATCCTAATTAATGAGGCAGGAAGCCGATCAGGTGCATCATTTCATAGCTCAGTCAGTCATCAAATATTAAGTGCCCCCTGGGGAACATTGTGGGAACCTATAATGTTCCAAATTCTATGCTTTGTGCTTTAATACATGGTCTCATATCATTCTCCCAAAAACCCAGTGGAGAAAACACCATTATTATCTTTCACAATTAACAAGTGAGATAGCCAATAAAGGAAGGAAATAAAGGAAGGAAATTAACAAATGAGATGGCCAACAAGTGAGATGGCCAAGAGTCTTACTCAAAGTCACAGTGCTGACCACGGTGGGATTTAAATACAGGGAGTCTGACCCCAGCTAAAGCTCATGGCTTTAATCACTCCTGTATCCCACCTTATATCCAGACTTTGGCACTGTTTTGCCGTGAGGTTGCAGTACTGGGGGTTAGGAGAAGGTATGGGAGTAATAATGGGGAAAGTCGTGAGAGTAGAATGGGTGGCTGGGTGGAAGTCTTCTTATTCCACAGTGTGATTCTCCCTGTAACCACAAACATCTTGAAGCAGTAAATTCTAAATTTCCTGAAATGCTTCAGAGTCAAGTCCTTACAGAAACTCTGGGAAAAATTCAAAGTAGCTCAAGAAGGTGCAAAGTCTTAGTGAAAATTCTGATTTTATCTAGATTTATTAAAGAACTGGGTGCCTCAGCTGTGAGCAAAAGTTACTAGTTTGGTCACCAGTCTCTAAAACTAAACCAAACCAAAGCAAACAACAAACAACAGAAAACATGTATCACTTTGAATTAAAATGACTCAATGAGAGAACATGTTGATGTCAAACAAAGGTAAGTTCCCAGCTCAGCTAAGGATCACTAGGCTTCTGTGGTCTTCCCAGATCCACTGCTACATGGTCATTGTGAGAACTGCTTGTGACCTTGGGAGTGCACAAAGGCTGGTACTTTTCTTTATCCTGTCCCTTGTTTCTTTGCATCTGTCATAGTTGCTGCAGAATAGCAAATCTATCACTCCTAATGGCCACAAATCAGAACAAATGATCATTACAAACAACCCATGTAGACAGCAAGTGCTAATTAATTATTAGATCTGGCTAGTCCAAACATGTGCTGTGCTGTTTCTCTGATTGCTAGCAAAGAAAGAAGAGGTGGGCTGTGGGCTAAACTTTAGGTGGCATGGAAGACTAGGGTTGGCCGCTGACATTGGCAAATCTGGTAGGTTTTCAGAAAAATACCAGAGGGTGATTAGAGCATATGGGACATTCCAAAAACAGAAGGTCAAGTAAGTGATACCCAAACCTCTCTAATTATTGGAATTACCTCATGGGTTAAATAAATACAGATGCTAGGCTCTATCTGTGACCTATTGAAACTTTAGTCATGGGAGATGAGAAGATGCATTAAAAAGCAAAAATTCCCCATGTGATTTTGATAATCATTTTGAGGAACAATTTATTTGAGGACACATTTCATAATTGGTCTTTACTTGTTGTTTTTGAAACTTTTGCTGTTCATTTCTTGGTGGAGATCCAGGACTGTTTTCTTGGTTACAGAGGTCAATTAGTTAAGCAAACAAATAAGTGGACCAAGCATTCAGGATTGATACTGTGTGTGTGTGTGTGTGTGTGTGTGTGTAATATATTTAAAATATGACTTAAGGTCTATAATTAAGCGCAGTGAAAATGTAGTATTTTAGTGTTTGGTTTTATGCTACATTTCATGTGTGAAATGATAATGATTATAATATAATAAAAATGATCATACTCAGAACCCATCTCAACAGTGTCAATTACGTATCATTGCCAAGTGCATGGCTATGGTAGGTTACTTCAGCTTCTTTCTTTCCTTCTAGGTTAAGATAATTGCAATGTATTGTCTTCTAAACATAGTATCTTATAGACTTTTCAAATATTGAAAAAGACCGGTACAATTTGCATAATGACAATTGCCCTTTCCCCAGGTTTTCTCTCGTAGGGCAGCGATTTTTGAGTCCATAGATGGGCCAGTAGGAAGTCTATACTGAAATCAGCATCGTGCCTGTAAGTTTGCTTGGGGATCACCTCAATAAACTCTGGGATATATACTTCTTTCTTCAGAAAAATCGGTCATATTTTTCTGGCGTGGAGCCAGTTGTAAGACAAAGGACTATGTCACTGGTTATAGTGCTATTTCTGAACTAAGTAATACAGAATGTTCTTAACTGACAGAAAGTGATAAAAAATAAATATAATGACTAGATATCCATGTGTGCATCAGAGGCTCTAATGCAGAGCAACCAGTGTTGGAGATTCTGTGATTGCTTTAAAAATAAACTCGAAATAAATTGAAAAAAACATAAAAGCTGCAATTCCCAATTAGGTGTCTTTAAAGTAAGTATTGGAATGGAAAGGAAATTTTAATTAAAAAATAAAAATTCCTAATAAAAAGTATATGTTTGCTATGAAACACATAAGTAAGAAATTATTTAATAAGCATTTCTTGGGAAACAAAACTTTAGAAAAAATAGACACAAAAAGGTATACATGGAATAATAAAATTCTGAAAGACTAAAAGTGTTGAAAAGTGTGCTTCAAATGTTCATTACCCAAAAAGAAACTGGATTCCTTGTATCCAATTTTACTTTTAACATAAACTTGATCATATCATTTAGAATAGTGGGTCTCAACTTTCTGAAGGCACAAAACTTCATTTATTTTCCAGTAACCTCTACATAATCGTATCTGTAGTTTTATCATGTAATGATTGTGGCAATGCATAATTAGAAAATCATAATGAATTTAATAGCACTTCAAATAATTGCTATTTCATAAATCAGAGCAGTGCATATGAATCATATAAATTTTAAAACAGTAGCAGCTATATGTGCAAGACATTTATGCAATCTATAGACATTGTTTGAGTATGTATGCTCTGAAAATATGGATTCTTCTATCCCTTCTTGTATTAATTCTCCAAATCTCCAGGGGACTCATGGCCTACATATTTGGGATCATTATAGAGTAAAAACAAGAATAATGAATGATTTGTTAACCTCTCCCAGAAATGTGTCATCAAAGGCCTCCAGGCTGAAATGTATTCTCTCCTACTGAGGTCTGCACTGAGCACCACTTACATCCGATGGAGCCCATCTTGCTGACCTGGATCCCTGGCCACATGTGTCTGAACAGTATGATGTGGAAGAGAGCCAGAGAAGGGGAGCCAGTTGCTAGTGCTGAATGAGGATTTGGGGCTAATCATTTTGTCTCCCTTTTTATTTGCTAAATTAAGACTCCAATGCTCTTGTTATTATCCTATTATAGGATACTGAGAGGAATAAAGTTAATAGGAAGGAGCACTCAAAAAGCTTTGGCTGAAAAGAATGATTTAAACCACTGGAGAAAACTTGTCCAATTATGAAGAAAGAAGTGGAACCGATGTAAACTTTTGGGTTTTTCTGTTTGTGTAAATCAATGACAAGGGGTCTGGAGCATGCAATTTTCTTCCACATATGTTATTCTTTCACAAGCAGATAGAAATAAAGGCACCCAGCCTGCAGGAGAAAGTTTGGAATAGCGGGTCTGAAATAACTCTGCTTGTTGTTTACCCTCTCCTGTGGCTAGCCTGACCTATAAATCATGCTTTAGATTCCGGCTGAACCTCCTCAGTGCCATGCAATACCCGGTACTCGGTGGTGTGTAAAAATTCTTTGGAAGTTGCTTAGATGAATATATAATAACTTTTCATACATTCAAAATACCATTTATTTAACTCACAAGAGAGGAACTCTAATCATGGCAACAGTAAGTACTATAATGAACCACAGGGTAGCAGATGGGCCCTGGGGTAAACAGTTTCTGTACTATTGATTTACTTATTTGATTTCCTTGTGAAACGTTCATGACCTGAACCATTGCTGTAGAATACAAATGCAGGTTTTCTATCCAAGTCAGGCACTAAGATTATTTCTTTGAAAGAATCTGAGTGTTCTCTGGCAAGCCAAAGGAAGACTAGTTAGTGTCTTGGGCCCTGGAAGTCAGTGTTTTGCAGTTTGATCAGGTGTGTGAGAATGATTTCTCTATAGAGAGTGCCACAACTTCTATCAAGACACCATCCATATTATTTCATTTCTAGAAACTTCCATTTAGAGCTCACTATCTGCATGACATTCTGTTGCATATATGTTTGTGATCTGAAGATATTAAGATATGATTCTTATCCTCAAAGAAATACACAATATTTACAATAGCCATATGGCTACAGAAGACAATCAAACACATAAGATGCAAGCTTAAATGCCTCGGGGCCCAGGCAGAGAGTGTCAATGTGTGGAGCTGCCTGCTATACGTCAATAGGGAGTGATGGGGACTGTGCCCGACTGGGACATTCATTACCCTCTTAAGTTCAAATTCATATTTAAAAACACTGCTCTGCTGGTCAAGGAAAAACATACATGGGGGTACATTAACTCTTGAACTCTTTTTGGGTGCACATACTCTTGTTCCAGTGTCTAGCAGCTATGTGAAGTTGACTTAATTGACACAATTTTGCAAATAAGGTAGAGGCTCTACAAGGTCAAGGTCTTGGCCAAGGTGACTCAGTTAAGTAGGAGGGCAAAGATAAGAAGTTGAAATTCTATGGACCCAAACCTGGTTATTTTTAAAAAAAACTAGCAGGGGCAGGAAGAAGCCAGAAATGGTAACTAATTATTTTGCATGTACTCACTTTTCTGATATCTGACTCATTATTCAAGGGCTCCTCCGGTGAATTTGTCTTGCCAATTTCCCCATATTTTCATACAGCATTAAAGAACACAGTAAATGTGAGTGATCCTTCATAATCAACATGCTTCTGATATGTCAGGGGTCTCTAGGTTACATTCAATATATTCATGGATTTGCTTTCCAAAGACAGGATGATGTTGCTGAGTAAAACAGATTAATGAAAAAAAGGGAGCTGCTACCCTCTGAGCAGGCTGGTCTATGCGGAGTGGACTCAACACAGAGCTACAGATTTCTAGGGATTTCTGAGCAGGATGCCCAAAATGAGTATAGGACTTGAGGTCTTATCTTCCGGTCAAACAAAAATATGGACTTTGGAATTAAGAAAAGCTAGATACAAAACCTCTGGTCCTGGGTGACTTCGAGGAATCTGATTAAACCTTTGATATCAACTTTGTTGTTTGAAAATGAAGAAAAATATATCATGGAGGTTAAATAAGTGCATATAGTTAAGCCAGGTGTTGAGTGCAGTTATTAATATTAGTGAATCAAAGGTATTCAATAATGCTGGTTCTCATCTCTCCATCTTTCTTTCCCCCAGCTTTGTATCCAGTGGAGGAGGCTTGGGCCCATGCTGGTAAAATGAGAAGTTAGGGGAGGATGTCCTCAGAGAGCTGGAAGATCACGGTCCTCACTGTCACAACCCATACAGTGTTGATAGGGAAAACATATGCCTTGGAATGTTTCAAATACTTTGCCACAGTTAAGGGACACCGAACAGCAACTCAGTTTTGGAAAACAAAGTGGAATTTCTGGAAACTGCTAGCATAAAAGCTTTCACAGGGTCGCACGCAGATTAGCATAATTTTTATTACATTTTCTATTTTAGTACTGTGAGATACTAATTTGGATTTCATTGTGCCCATTGAGCGGCTTTTGTTCTTTGGCTGTGAGTTTAATTATTTAGTTATTTATGAGTGCATCTGGGCATAAGTGCCACAGTTTTATTTCGGTGACAAATTTATGGTCAGTGAATTTTAGTAATTAATGAATAAATTATTTCTCCTCCATAAATGCCTCTGCAATTTGTGATTTTCATAACAATTCATAATACTTAAGAAAAGTTCTTTATTAGTTGAAAAAGCCAATGCTAATGGAATCAGGAAAGGGAAATTTCAAATTGCTTTAATTAACTGTATTAATTAGTATCCAACATGTGTAAGATATTGAATTGGCTTTAGTTGTCTCTCTTAGCATTTAGTTGCCTAAAATCTGTCTAAGATATGAATATACTGTGTTAAAATAAATTCTAATTCTTTTGTGAAGTAAATGGCAAGAATAAAAGGCTCTCCTTTATAATCTTTAATTCATGGTGTACCCTCGAGTCCTTGAAATTTGCCAAAGATAAAAAATTTGCATATATAAACAAATGCATATATCAGCATTCTAAAAAAGAAAATCATAAGCCACTTTGTAATGTGATTTGAAGGAATTAGGGAAGTTTACAACAGTTTGTATGTTTCAATTTTTTTTTTTTTTTTTGAGACGGAGTGTTACTCTGTCACCCAGGCTGGAGAGCAGTGGCGCGATCTCGGCTCACTGCAAGCTCCGCCTCCCGGGTTCACACCATTCTCCTGCCTCAGCCTCCCGAGTAGCTGGGACTACAGGCGCCCGCCACCACACTCGGCTAATTTTTTGTATTATTAGTAGAGACGGGGTTTCACCGTATTAGCCAGGATGGTCTCCATCTCCTGACCTCGTGATCCACCCGCCTCGGCCTCCCAAAGGAGGGATTACAGACGTGAGCCACCACACCCGGCCTCAATTTTTTTTTGAAGCAAAATCAACACAAAAAAATTCGTTAAACCCGATTATCCACAAATCACTGCACTAAGTGGAGTGGGGCAAGAAATGATGAATAAGAATAATCCCCACCCTTCTGGAGCTCACGGTTGAGTGAGGAGGATGGAAGACACAGTTATTCGAATAATTAAGGGAGTTTGCAAGAATGTATGAGTAGGAGCGTGTATAGAGCTCGTCCTCACCAATGCTCTGAAACAGAGCCATGCTCCTTCGTTTTGTAGGGCGTGATTTAAGTTTTACTCTAGAAATATCAAACCACAGACTGTTTCCTTGAGGACAGGGATTCTTGTAGGTTTTTTCTTGATTTTTCTCTTTTCCCTCACAACAATATCCATTCCATCAATAATTCCTGTCACCTCTACTTTCAAAATATGTACGGTCATGCATCGCTTAATGAAGGGGATCAATTCTGAGAAATTCATGGTTAGGCAGTTCTGTTGCTGTGTGCCCATCCCAGAGAGGACTTAACACAAACCTAGATGGTATAGTCATCTATGCCCCTAGGCTGTACGGTGCAGCCTGTTGCTCCGAGGTCACAAACCTATGCAGCATGTTACTGTACTGAATACTGTGGGCAACCATAACACAATGGTAAGTATCTGTGTATCGAAACATAAGAAAGGTACAGTAAAAATACCCTATAAAAGATGCAGAATGATATGGGACCCTTTCCATGAACGGAACTTGCAGGACTGGAAGTTGCTCTGGGTGAGTCAGTGAATGAGTAGTGAGTGAATGTGAAGGCCTGGGACATTGCATTACTGTAGACTTTCTAAACACTGTACAGTTAGGATATACTCAATTTATTTAAAATGTTTTTCTTTCTTTAATAATAAATTAACCTTAGCTTACTGTAGCTTTTTTTACCTCATAAACTTAAATTTTTAAATTTGTTGACTCTTTTGTAATAAAATTTAGTTTAAAACACAAATACATTGTACAGTTTTATAAAATATTTTCTTTATCTCCTCCTCCTCCTCCTCCTCCTCCTCCTCCTCCTCTTCCTCCTCCTCCTCAAGGTTTCACTCCCATTGCCCAGGCTGGAATGCGGTAGCACAATCTCTGCTCATTGCCTCAACTTCCCGAGCTCAGGTGATCTTCCCACTTCAGCTTCCTGAGTAGCTGGGACTACAGGTGCATACCACCACACCTGGCTAATTTTTGTATGCTTTATGTAGAGACAGGGTTTCACTATCTTGCCCAGGCTGATCTCAAACTCCTGAGCTCAAGCCATCCGCCCTCCTTGGTCTCCCAAAGTGATAGGATTACAGGCATGAGTCACTGTACCCAGCCTATGTCCTTATTCTACAAGCTTTTTTCTCTTTTTAAATTTATTATTTTTTTACTTTTTAAACTTTTTTGTTAAAAACGACGACACAAACACACATGCTAGCCTAGGCCTACACAGGGTCAAAATCAGGATCGTCACTATCACTGTCTTCCACTTCTACATCTTATTCTACTGGAAGGTCTTCAGGGGCAACAACACACATGAAGCCGTCATCTCCTACAAAAACGATGCCCTCTGGAATGCCTCCTGAAAGACCTGCCTGAGACTGTTTTACAGTTAACCTTTTTAAAAAATAATAAGTAGAGGGAATACACTCTATGATGATCAAAAGTATAGCATAGTAAATACATAAATCAGTAACAGTCATTTATTGTCATTTTCAAGTATTATGTACTTTACATCATTGCATGTGCTAGATCTTTCTACAACTGGCAGTGCAGCAAGTTTGTTTCCATCAGCATCATCACAAACGTGCTTAATGTGCTGCACTGTGATATTACCATGGCTATGATGTCATGATGGCTACAATGTCACTAGGTGATAGGAATTTTTCAGTTTCATACTAATATTATGGGACCACCATTGTCTATGCAGTCTGTTGTTGAATGAAATGTTGTTATGCGGCTCATGACTGTATGGAGTCTGTACACTTCTACCACTGGTCTACAGCCTAAGCCTCTGCCAAGACTTTCTGTTTCTTTTTGATGCTCCCCAGTCAATTCTCCACCCAGTAGCCTTAATGTTTCCCTCTCTGATCCAGTCATGTAGGATTTTTTGTTTCTCCAACATGCCCACTCTTATTCCCGACCCAGGGCCTTTGTTCTTACTCTTCTCTCTGCCAGGATCATTTTCCTCCAGATCCTCTCATGCCTCATTTTCTACCTCATTTGGGTCTCTCTCTACTCAAATGTTACCTTCTTAGGTTTACCTGACTCTTTAAAACAACTTCCCTATCACCTCCACCAGAACAGTTTTTCCATGGTCAGGGTTTAAGCAGAAAATCTTGATCTGTCTGTCTGTCTGTATGTCTTTCTGTCTGTCTGTTGATTTGTACTGTTTTTCCCTCTCTCTCTCTCTCTAGCTGTTGCTGGAGCTTAATGTCCACAGGGCAGCAGTCAGGAGAGAAGAATGAATGTAATAATGGGTATATGGTAGAGTGATCAGGGGCTAACTGGAACCCACAGGCATGTGCTGAAACTCATGAGGATGGACTGAAACCTGTGTTGTTGTTGTTGTTGTTTTTGCCTTTGACTTTGCAAAGAGGATATCATGCAGAAACAAAGGCCCTTCCTCAAGGAGCTAAACACACACACGTGGCCAAGGAGTCAACCTGGCCCAGATATTGAAGAAGCTGAAGGAGGATTGGGGAAGGTAGTCCTGGCTGCTGCTTTATGCCAGTGAGGTCAGAGCAGGACCAACGTGTGTGAGCTACGAGAGGCTGCTGCCTCCCTCTTTCCTTTACATCCCCAAGAATCTTCCTTGTGGCCTAGCCAGAAACACACAAGAAATGGAATTCTGGGAAATGGAATTCAGCCCAGCCAAACTGACATAGTACAAAGCCATCACAGTACCTGCAGTAGGTAATATTGTGCTATTTATTTGTTTCGTGAAAGCAGGTATTTTTCTAGTGTGCAACAGAATAGTACTTGGCACATAGTTGCTATTCAAGAAATATTTATTGAATGAATATTATATCTAAAGACATCTGGTCTGAGGACAGGAGCCATGATCAAATCAAGAGGTTTGGAGAGCAGGCTAAGTCAACTGGCAATGCTGGTTTATGGAATGAGCTGCACCCTATTTAGAGACTGAGCAGGAAGCCACTCCCTCTTTCTCCTGCTGCCCCTTCAAACATACTGTCAGGGGCCAGATCTTCCCGTCACTAGAAAAACTTTGGCAAGTCCCTCTATATTCTTCAGCCACAAGAGCAGTCTCATTCAAGAGAGACTACATTAAGTCTTTAAACTTTTAACCAGGATAAAGCTTCCCCTCACCCAAGTTGGTCCTGCTTTCAGCATGAAGTCTGTGGTGAGGGAGGAGGGCGTTGCCAGCTTCTCTTCTCGGCCCTTCCTCTCCCACTTCCCTTTTACTGGAGGCTGGTTTGTCCCTCCAGTGCTGGGTCATGCAGTACAGGGGATTAGGGAAGAAGGCTGTTGACTTCTGGGCGGGTGTGAGTATAAACTGAAGTCCTTGCCCTCTGGATGCAAGACTGTGATGTATTTTCTGGTTCTTTCTTTCATTAGAGCTTTTGAGGGTTTTCTGACTCTCTTTCCTGCATAGAACTGCCAAGCAAAATTCTGATAATAATGCCTTCTCTTGCTGGTAGCTTTGGGAAACGTGCACCCTGCCTGCTGTTACATGTTCTTTGCTCACCTTTGCAGGTCCATCAGTTCCTTAGCCTTCAGACTGTGGAAGTGAGTTGGATCCAAACATCTACAGCCCTCACACCAGAGGATGTGTCAGGCTTTCCAGGGGGAGCCCTTCTATGACTGGAAGTTGGGGGGAAGCAACCCCCTCTTTTACTCTGGAGGGAGAGTTGTGCACACAGCCCTCACACGACTCTCTCCAAAAGAGCCCTCTTTTCTAGCCTCTTCTCCCCTCCATTAATAAATTGTTTGTTTGTTTGTTTGCATATGGTCTGGTGGTGACTGGTGGAGTAATACTGGTCTGATTGGCTTGAAAATCGCTTCACCTGTCCTTTGGCCTTCCTGTGCGATCTTAACACTCTGCCTCAGGACGTGCAGGTACTTGCCACTTACTTTATTATTCATGGAAGCTCTGCAAAGATGCAGAGTCAGAAGCATCCCATTTTACCAGCCTGTTATAAAGAGGAGGAGATTAACTTTGGTTTCAGATATTGCAGCAGAACCTTCCTAGGTCATTACCTGATTTCCAAACACCTTCTCCATCAGCCTGTTGCTGTTGCCTAAAATGCTAACCTTATGGAATCTATCCTTGGTATTTTTAATAATTTGTCACTAATTCCACAATGCCAAATGACCTCTTCATTCAATTGATTAATGCTTTTGTGTTAAGCTTTTAATAGAGCTTTTATTTTGCCCTCACAATTCTGAAAATGTTATTATTTGCATTTTACAGATAAGGAAATTGAGGCTTAGGGAGGTTGATACCACAGTGAGGTTACATACTAGATAACAGGGCCCTATAGTATTTGAACCCAGGTCTCTCGACTCCAGAGTTTGTTCTATTAA